CTCGCTTAGCACCAAGACTCGCGAAGCACGAATGAGTGGGAGCGCCTGTGCAGCTATCTACCACGCGCTAGCGCACGCTAAATTCACAACCGCGTGACGTCCATCAGGGACTGGCTGGCACTCAAGACTACGTACATCAATCGCGAATCAGAATTGAATGTCTCGAGCGTACGTTTTCATGCGTCATGTGGGGGAGACTTTTGTTCGGCGAGACTTGGCGAGCATTTACACACCGGTAAGCGTACCTACCGCCAGAGTCTAGGACATCTGCCATTCATCATTCGGCTCGACGCTGCGGCTGCCTTCGTCACTCTGGATTCCTGCCTGCAGACAAGACCACCATAGCTCGAGGAGCTAACACGATAGACACGACTTTCTGCTCGCTTTCATCATCGTGACGCGGCAAACGACTTCTCTGGCTTGGTATGACCGCTCTTGATCAGCTCTTTCTTTGTGCATTACTTTCTGCGAGAGGACTGTCTAAGCCATGGTGCTTTGCCTGTGCTTCCGATCTTGCCGAGGGTGACACTCTATCACCACAATGCAGGTTGTCACCAATCTGATCCGTACGCTGTTGACCGGGCCCAAGTGTGGAGAAGTCGAAGGCGAATGAGCCGCAACGTAATGACGAGAACGTGCAGATGTAATGAGCAGAGGAGGCACGCCTCATCGAGACGCAAAAGTGCGCTTGTTCAAGACACCAGATGATTCCTTTGCTTTCAACACGTTTCTGTGCCACGGCTCGAGTACTCGAACTCAACCTCCACTACGGACGGCTGCTCGGCGAAGAGTAGGCTGGAGCTCGCTAGGTCGTTTTAGCCCGCTCTGTTGAAGACTCGGTGCCTCCCCCGTCGGCCCGCTTGACCATTAGTAGGCGAAAGAGAAGGAAAACAGCAAAGATTGCCGCCTCGTAATATGTAAAGATTGTGAATGCGAAGCCGGCGTCATCAATGCCTTCCACACCTATGTAGCCATGCTCATGGAGGTCAAAGAGGATGAACGCATGCACGAGAAAAGCGACGAGCGCTATGATCCTTGGATAGGAAGTCGGACCATATGCGGATATGAGGATGATCCAGGGTATGAGCAGAAAGCTACCGGGAAAGAGAATCCAGAGAATCCAACGGGCAATGGCGGCTAAGAAGCCAACGGACTTGACGAGGGCGCGCCGCTCGGCAGCGAACCATGTGCCGTGCTGCTCTTGGCTATGCCCGCCATCCAGCGGCGGCATTGTCGTAAGTGCAGCCTTCAATCGTGAACGTCGAGCGCGAGCTGACTGATGCCCGCGTAGAGTCTCTTCTGGTTGTGTGAAAGAGCGGACCTTTGAAGGGAGTGTAGTGCACATACGGCTTCTCATCCGCACCCA